TCGAAACGGGAGATAATTATACGTTGCGGCAGGCATTTATGGTGCGGAAGCGAAGGAGAGTGCAGAGTGTGGACAGAGCGGTCGGCAAAACTCAGGAGGTGGCGGTGGACGGGGGTTAAAGGGGTTGGGTGCACTGGTCGGTGTGTGCATAAATGCACAGTCGGGCGAACAAACCGTCAGGCCGGCTGAAACGCAGTTTGCAGGAAAATCAAGCAAAAGCAGGGGCTGGTTGCTGCGCGTACGGAAATGGAGTGTCGTCCTGTTTCGCTCTTCGTCGTCCACCTCGCCGTTCTCTGGTACATCTCGTTTTTGCTAGTGACCGCATCGCCGCCAAATACATATTCAAAGATTTACCAAAATTCACTATAGTAACTCTCGAGTCATTTTTCTGTTTTTATTTTACGATTACATGTATCCTTCTACGAGGAACTTTATTGTCCCGGTAAAAATTTGGTAGATCGATATCTTTGGTCTCGTCACTTTTCTAAACGCGTTTTCCTTCCTATGACTTTTATTGCTTTCAGCGATGTGCACTCAAGCGGCACGGCGTCGCGTATATTTCATTCTATTCCCTTAGCGTGCGAGTATCGTCTGCTCGAAATCGGTGTTTCGAAGACGAACCGTAAAATAACGCAATCATTACAATCTTGATTATGCAAAAGTTTTGAAATTGTGTGTCCAAAGCAAGATATAGTATTACAAAGAAAGGTTTGAGAAAGAAATATTATTGTACTAATGTGCGTTTAATTATTAATTACTTTTAAGATTAAATAATATTATTATTACACCTGTCTTTATGATTTATAATACAAGAATATAAAATAAATCTTCAACACAATTATAAATAATTATTGAAAATTTGATGTTAAAAATTAAATGTAGCAATTTAAATGAGGAGATTTGATACATTGATTAATTTGAAGGTACAATTTAGAATCTTATTGATTGCAGAAGCAATCAATTGGTTTGTCAGCTAAAGCTCAGTCATACTCTGTAATCAGAACGCAATAAATGTTGTTTACGAAGCTGTTTTTCGAAAATAAAAAGGTCCTCTAACCCAAACTAACACGCGTTCGTTAATTATAATTGCTATGGTCAAAGAGCAAATGTGCAAGCCGCGTTTATCGGCCGTGTTTTGCAGCGAGTTAATTACGGGAACAGAGTCTATTATCCTGGCACAATGTCAACTCATAGCAGTGCAGTTGGATGCACAGTTAATACCCGAATTTAATTTCCTCTGCAGCCGCTCGAACTCTCATCCACCACAGCAGTTGTAATTTCATTGGCTATAAAACATTAACTGTCCCAAACGTTATTCGTTTATTTGAATGTAAGATTGATCTAAGTATTGTAAAAATTTTTTGAGCCACAGATTTATTACAATATACATGTTACATGCTATTTGATTAGGTACAAGAGAATGCATTAAACAAGTAATAATTCAAGAAATTACGTTTAGTTTACATTTAATTTTCACGCGGCACCATAAATTAATCTTAATTTTCCTATCAAAATCGAGCGTCTTTGTACATTTTCTTGAGTAAGATCTATGTTACATCAGTATTGTAACTTGGGAGAGACTGCCGTATTCAGTTTCGCACTATGGTAACAAAGTTCCTCGAGTCTAGTAGCTCGTTCGTAAGTTTAAGTTGTATGTACTTATTGCTCTCGCTCTCGTCGCTGTCGACGCGCATTCAGAATAATTTCGCGCTATATCATGCAGTCATAAATAAGTAGCAGCTTTAATCTGGATTTGTTTGCCTCATTGTGTCTCAGCATCTTATCTAAGAAAGCCGCATAAATTAACACACAAAAGTGATAGAAAATTGTATAAATAATAAAAAATTGAGAACATTTACATAATTTTATATATTAATTGTAATATATTTTATGAATGATTGGATATAATTTGTCTTATTGTTAGTTCCGTCATCTTTTAAATAATTTTAATGTTTAAAAAACTATTTTTTTTTACAATATTAAAGAAAAATAAAAGAGAATGAAGAATTAGTTATATGCATAAAGATTCCGCAGAAATTAGTTCCGCTATTGCATACGCACACAGAACGCTGATTTGAGCGTAAGAAAGCCAGAAGTGCAAAGTTGTAGGCGAGATAGGCACGACTGAACGGGCGGGGATGCAGACGCAGGATGCAAGTGGAAGTACGGAGAATCAGTGCACGTGAGACGTTATCGTTAAGTCTAGCGTTGAGTCGGAGATGTCTACCTACTTGGCTACACATTTTAGATCCGTGCTAGTTCCAGTGAGTTGCACGAAGCGACTGTTTATGGCGTCGTGTTCGCGAAACGGTCCGATGAAGGAGAGGTTCTCCTCTTCCGGCGAACCGGGCAACGAGATAGTCGTGGCGCGGTTGTTTGCGAAAGTCGTCTGGTTTCGCCAGGATGCAGCGTGCAACGTGTAGCGCGAATTCGCTCGAGCGTGCGGTCGCGGATGAAGACGCTTACTGGGCTCAACGTCGACGCGTTGCGCAAATTTTCCCGGCTGGTACGTTTCAACCGGTCCGTGTTGTATCTTCCGGTGGGCGAGCCTGTGCGGATTGAAAACTGTCTGATGCATGGCTCTAGCAGCATGATTTTAAGGCAGAGTTCTCGCGGTAAACGCAGCCGCCAAAGATGCCGCTGAAGAGCATGCCAACTCGAGTGCACCTCGGTGCACGAAGCTTTCCTTATGCGGCGAGTTGTTGCTGTGAGAAACGATATGCTTTGGTGTGCCGAGCGATATGCATGCATTATTTGAACTTGAACGGCGCATTTATTCATATTCGTGAAAACGTGTGCACTCACTCTTGCGCCACGAGTTTTCGAATACAATTCGTCATTAGAGAGTGTAGTACTTAAAAACGCTTCATCTCGACAGTCTCGTATAAGCATTTATTTTGCAGTTTTTACATTTATTAGCAGTTGTTGCATTTATTAGCAGTTGTTTTGCAAGAAATGATGTTCATTTATTAGCAGTTGTTGCATTTATTAGCAGTTGTTTTGCAAGAAATGATGTTCAAGAGATTATTTTCCCGCAAAAATTTGAATATAGAGATATAATATTTATCCTGCCACTCAAGTTTTTTTTGTATGCGTCTTTCTTTTGTATCCGGGAGATCTTTTATGTTGCAAGTAGGATTATATCATTTGGGATAGAACTCAAGGCAACTTCTGCATAAGGTATGAGGAGCATTTTTATGTCTACAACATGGTATAAAAGTTTCCCAATGCGGTATTCAGAAGGTTTCTGGCGACGTTCAAAACACACCCTCGTTCTTTGCTATGGTTTAATATGATTCTGCCTTTTGTGATAACATATCATGCGTTCATAAAATAGTGTAGTATACAGTAAAAGTTAAAAGTTATTATAACCAAAATACACTATCCTTTATGCATATAAATATACATATGACCACCAAGCTGTGTCCAAGCTTTTGCGAAACAAAATAGTTACTTTGCATAAAAAAAAGTAAATATTTCAAAATATTACAAAATTATAAAATGCGCTATTCTTTATTTTATTATATTTATTTTTAGCATTACTAAATATTTTTATTTTTAATGGTTATAAAATTTCCAGAATGATTAATTGTAATATATTTCTTTTAGGAAAATTTTTTTATTTTATTCAAAATTATTTTCTTGAATCTCTTTTACATTGTTTTACATATTTAATATATAGTCCAGTTTCGAAAATGTCAATATACACTCTATGTACGAAAAAATTGCTATCGATTTGCACGGGATATCGTATCCCGATTTGGTTTTATTACGATTTTCCTATCAGAATCTAGATCATACATACAACACAGACACACACACACACACGCGCGCGCGCGCGTACGCACGCGCGCACGCACGCACGCACGCACGCACGCACGCACGCACGCACATAAAAAATAAGCTTTTATATGGATATAACCGTATTTAGCCGGCTATCTTATAGTAAACATTTATAGCACAATGAACTTCTTGACAAAGTAACAGACTGCATTTTAATAAGCGTATTATTAATATCGAGCAACTATATACTGAGACATTATTATCACTGAGACCTAGAATTGTAACATTAATATGAAAGATGGAAGATTATCATAACTTACAATTTATACGTATTATAGCATTGTATTGTTGTATTTACGGTATTATTGGATAGAACTATACGAGATTACTTTTTTGTATTAATAAATGTTTACGTAACTTTATCGTTCTATAGTTTTGGCTCGTAAAGATGTATTATTTTTCTAAATTATCACGTATTGCTGGATTGGGATATACGTACAATTCGCAGTTTAATGCACGTGGGGGTACTTTCACTTAATATCTCAGTAACATGATATATTTCAATTATATTCCTCCCTGAGCTACTATGATATTCTCTCTTCGCAATTAATTACTAAGTATTGGATTTTCTCATTGAGCGAAGTGCCGCACCAAAGTTCCGAGAATTTACACATGGAAACATGGAAGATGTTTGCATGCGAGAATATGTCCGCGCAATAGGCAAAAGGACTGTACAATCCGTGACAGAATTATTATATTTTCCAACAAATTTTATACAAAATGTCCAATTGTATTATCCGTACAGATTCTTAAGGTCACTTAGAGACAAAAATCTTTATACCAAAAATATCGAGGCTACAATAATTTTTAAACGCAAAGTGTTTATGGTTAATCACTTAGAATATCAAAAATTTACGCACTCACAATCAGATATGTTGCATATTGCTTTTATATCTTTATCATATAAGAAACCTCAGAAATCTGCTATTAACGATTGGTCTGGAACACTGTATATTTTACATTATTTTTAAATGTACTATTATTTAGCTATTATTATTTTAAATCTATTGATTTTTAATATTTATAATTATTAGATACAATTATATATAATTCTTTTATTAGATGTTTGCATAAAAGATGAGTAAAAGTTTAATGTATCATATAATGATTATATCTCAAATAATTATTCTAAACACTGTTAACTTTGTATGTTACAGATTACAACTTGTGAACAACTTTGCTGCTGTATATTGTGTTGGTAAGTCAATTTAATTTGTTTTATTTTAATATTGTTAAAAGAATAGAGAGAGAGATTTTAAAATAATGTAAAACATGCACAGAATGCTCCAAACCAATTGTATCACTAAACAGTAAAGTTCTGAGGTTTCTCATATGTGGTAAAGATATAAAAATTAACATGCGATATAACAATCAACTGTCTGAGTGCGTGAATTTTTGACATTCTAAGTGGTCGACTTTAAACACTTCGTATTTAAAAATTACTGTAGCCTCGACATTTTCGTATAGAAGATTTTCATCTTCCAATAATCTCAGAAATCTGCTATTAATATGGATAATACGATTGGTCTGAGACATCCTGTATATCATATAATAATTTTGCATATAAATATATATCTCAAAACATCTTTGATAAATTTTGATGCTATTTTAGCATATAAAATGCAGTAATAATCATAATTTAGAAACAAAAAATATATAAGATATTTGCAATTGGTTGCTTTGAAAAGTATTGCTACATTAAATGCAAAGCAAATTAATAGACGTATGAAAAATGTAAATAACTTTTATGTATCTTTTTATACAAATATTTTTAATCGATTTTATGGATATTAGTTAATGGTGAATAAATAATTTGTTTTTTTTCGGAATTAGAACCAAAAGTATAATGTGAAAAAGTATTGTGGATATATATTTAATTAACTAAAAATGTCAATTTGATTAGATTTTAAAAGGTAATATTGTCGATACTCTTGATTGCGACTGTACGTTAAAGTTACCTGATGCAAGCTCGGCTTTGCATCGAACCGCGGCACATTGCACTGCTGCAAAGCACTACATTTTCTAAATCTCACGGGTCGAAAGACGTAAAATTTTTTCACCGAAATAACTACGAAGAAAACAAGTTTATCTTATTTATATGATTACTACCTTGCAATATAGACAATATTTCTTATCATTGCTTAGCGAGAAGTTTATTGCTGTCTTCAGTTAGCTTTTCCGATAATTATATTGACTTATTTTGTATTTGTGAAATTAATATTGAACAAGAACTCTGCAAAAGTTTCGCGGGATTTTTGATTTTGGAGTTGACTAAAGGATATTATCCATCCTACTGTATCCACTTTCCAACTACGCTTTCAACACACTACTAACGCATAATTGGATAGCTCGCTGATTCTTCAGTTTTTCGCGATCGATCGGCGGCGAGATTAAAACTTGCAATTAATTAAAGGCAAAATTTGCTTCGCGTACAAAACAAACACGATAAACGGCGAAGCCGTGTGCAGTCTACGGGGAAATAACAGAGAGTCTCGGGTCCGAGCCGGTTTAAATTAACGAGTAACTTTGCACGGAGAATTTTCGCGAATTATAGCGTGTCCGAGCAGGGGAGGTCAGGTCGTCCGGCATGCGCACGGTAAGATCTGTGGACGTGAAAACGCGGGATCAAAAGGATAATGCTTAGTTATCCGACGACTATGGCACAAAACACACAGAATCGCGAATCGATAGAGGCGAAATCGCGTCGGCGAGGGTGCAATGCGGCAATCGTTTGCCCCTCCGTTTCTCTTCCTTTCTGTCTGACTCGACTTCGTCCTCTTTCCCTTTCCGCGCTTTCTCTGTCGCACGTTCTCTTTCTTCGCTCTCTTCCTTTCTCTTTTCTATTCTCATTCTTTTTCTCGTTTTCTCTACGTTCAGCCCATTGCACAAATCTTACCTGTCTCTTTTCCTCGATCTGCTCATGTTTCCGTTCTGTCTACTTTGTCTCCTTTCTCCGCGAAATTCAACCTTCAATTCTCACTCCACGCGTTACTATATTTCCCTTTCGTGAAATCCGTGAAATCTTTCGTCTTACTTGACTGCTAGATCCAGTTAGCGCCAAGAATACTTTCGTTGAGTTTCTTTTTTTCCTAATTTTTAACGTTATGAATAGCGAGAAATGAATAGAGAGAATAAAATATCTTGGTTGTAAGCGAAATAAAGTTTCTATGTTGATTATCAAATTGGTTAGTGCGCGTCATTTACGAATGAGAACATTCATAAATTTAGTATTCATACATGAAGTTCTGATTACTCGTGTTAGTAATGGTTTTCATTTGCCCATTTTAGGAAAGCAATAAATTTATAATATTTTAGTAATAAATTACGAGTATGCAAATTCAACAGGTGTAAAAGCTGTATTTAAAGCTGTATTTAAAAAGATTCAAATATCAAATGTATAATACTTTGAAATGTTCTGCTTCTACATATCCATTAAAGTTCCAAGTTGGTATTACATTAATACGAACTTGTAGCGCGGAAAGGAATTACTCTCTTGCTAAACTACGTGACGTCTACACTCAGATGCCGTTAACGTTCATGTCGAAATTAATAGCAAGTTTGTAATAAATTCCGATAGCAATACGATCACGTCATAAATGTGATATACTTGTCAAATGTTTCGTAAATGATACTATGTACTATGTACACTTTCAATCGGTCGTATTTTAGCAATATGAAATAATATCAAATTGTTGACAGATAGTTTGCAAACGTAATTTAGTTGATTGCTTAGTAATAATTTGATTGGTTAAGATTCCATGTGATTGCAAATCCTAAAAATAATATTAAAATATTATTTAGGCTAATGTTAATAATAGCTTATATTCTATTCATAAAAAAATAGTATTGTCAATATTATTAATAAAATTATTAATAAAATGAAATGGAAGAGATAATATTGAAAATAATAAACAGGAAAATAGTTGGACATTTTGTAGATATAAATTAAGAAGTACCTTATAAAAGAAGCAATTATTTTTCAAGCAGGAAATTAGCGAAGTTTTATAGTCATAGAATAGGAAGTTGCGAATTGAACGGAGTAGACAATGCGATTTTAAACCCGCTTTGTATGCACGAAGTGCATTGCGATAAACGGAAATGAGCAAAACACTTAGAGGAATTATCAGATATTCAACTCGTATTAAAAGAACTCCGAGACCTTCTTATATCTTCTTTATAATAATTACAATGTAAAAGCTGTACCGAGCCTCGCGACTTTTAATTCCCTAATTACCACCTCGTAATATCTATATTTTATGCAAAGCATTTTTTTCAAGCTAATAAGGCAAATGCGAGTGAATCGGATCAGCGGACGATATTATAAATATTTTATAATATTTTAAAAAATGATTTAATTTTTAATCAAACTTACTTTATTGTTGAATAAATAATAGTCTTTTCAAAATAAAAATTTTCTGAATAAATAAGTACGCAGGAAAATTACTCAGCAAATTAATTTTTAAAAGTATTATAAAATATATAAAAATTATTCATTTGTATTTACTTTCCGTTTAATATTTTATAATATAAATTTTTACAAGTGCACGGGATTAATTAAACTTTTCGAAAACATAGGATATTATATTGTTAAAGTTATATTATTATTTTCTTCTTTAATCATTATAATCAAAACAATTATTTAAAAAAGAAGATATAATTATTGTGCAAATATTGCATTGCAATAAAATAGTAAAAGACAAATTTAAATTTAACTGTGCTTTTAATCGAAAACATTTAGTCATTTTTTAAAGTGTTGGTGACTGCATAAGATAACTATTTGCAAGTTTTACAGCGAGTGCCATCGTTTTGAGCACATTGACATTTACCGCAATGTATTTCCGATATGTAGTATGCTGCCGAGTGCCTTGCGCAGAAAGAGCTTTAATGTCGATGTTTTCTTGCTACATCGTGCGCTTATGACGTCGTCGTGTCGTCCGGCACGGTTCTTCATCGCAGGTCCGTCATTTGTGCTCGCCGTTGAAACTTTACGTCGTAAAATCGAGCGGTCGAACTTGGTCGCGCCAGCCCGCATGGGATCGGCGTTCCCGTCTCGTATAAAATACCATAATGCCCCGGACACGTCGATCGGAATCAGGTGCAACCAATTTGGCAGGAGTCCAAAAGCTGTGGCATGTAAATCCAGTTTGCAAGGCATCAACGCTGGCGACACCGGTGGAAATCAAACGCCGTTGCGTGGTCAATGGTCAGACTCGTATACAAGCATTCCATACGAGCTCGATTTCCAACGGACACGTTGGAGATGCAAACTCGAAAAAGCCTTTCGCAAAGCCGTATAATTCTTACAAGTGATAGGGGTGTACATTGAAGCTTTTTTTGAATAGCAACAATAGAAAAAATATAAAGCATCGTACATTCTTTACGATAAAAATGCATGTCTAAAAATTTATTTAACAAAAATGATAATTTAGTTATTATGTTTGTTTATTTATTTATTATTTAATGTGCATCTCGCTGTTGCTGTGTCGAAAGTGCGCGATTTTGTTCGTCAAATCAGTATTGTTTATTCTGCATTTTTATGCTAATGCCGGGCTTTTTTATGCTAGTGTAGATAGTCATTCTGCGTAGCGGGACGCATAAATTGGACATTTTCTTTCTAAAATGTTACTATTAGACTTAGAGACGGAACGAACACGACAGACGTCTTTCCATTTTCCACCGCGCATTCGTCTCGGATTTCCATATCGGAGCATTAACAGCGGAAGTGCAAGCTGCTCGACGGTGATAAAGGTAAACGACTGAAGGAAAGTACCGTGGGACCTTATAGACGAATAGCACGCGATCTCTTTTGCATGACCACGTGTGTTCGCACACAGGCGCGGCGTATCTGAAGAAACACGAATATGCGCGTAGAAAACATACTCACCTGTCGAGGATTCGCGCGAATTCAGCGAGGACTGTATCCAATGCAGGGATGTTGCTCACGTATCCCCGACGTTGATGCATTCGCAAAAATATTTCGAAAGATGACACAGCGGGCCGCATTCGCCCTCGAAGGCGCTTTCGTAGCTACCGAAATCTCCGGAGTGCGCAGATTTTTACTAGCGCCGGGCAATTCGCGGCACGACGCGCGAGCATGCCGATGTACTTGAGAAAACGTGATTTCATCGCGTGGAATTTCACGTTCTGGGGCAAATATGTATATGGAAAAATCGGTGAATACGTCGCGGAAGAACAGAT